CAGCGCGCTGGCTGCGCACCTCGGTTTGTTTGGATCGCGTTGCTAGGCGACGCGCCGCTGGAGTGGGGGGACCGTGGGAGCGCTGAAAGGGTCTAGAATTAAAAGAACTCAGTGCCTACAATTTTAATAGAAGTTTACTGTAATCAAGGATGTTCTTAAGTTGTGATAGAATTGAAAGCAAACAAGGGGTAAAAGTTATTAAAACATTTAACTTGTAACCATTTTAGTTGAAAATCCACGGGTTTAACAACTTCGGCTTCGACTGAATGTACCCAAGCACTTGGCGGCACGGCAGAGGTAAAGAGTAAGACGAAGAGAGAAAATGAAAATAGGGGACAGGAAAATGAAATGGAAACTAACTAATTTTACTTAAAATAACTCTACCCTTTATCATACTCTTTATCATATCTTTATCTAAATATTGTCTATTTTTAAAGTAGGTATGCAATGCCTATTTGCCTACAAAATTCCCACCGGAGGTGTGGCAGTCAGTTGCGGGATTGTCATAAGCGGAATATTCTCTTGAATGCGCCCTCGGCCTCGTGGCTCCGGCGCTGGCCACGACGCTAGTTCCTCCTCGTGAGCGCGAGAATTTAAAAGTCTACGCATGTCTAACACCCATGCAGATTGGCTCGGTCTTATCGCTCCCATTTTGATATATTTTGTGAAGGTGTTGTATACTTCTTCTCTATAGTGGAGTGGAACTGGCCGTGCGTTCTGCTTGATCGGCGGGTGGTCTCCTGTGTCTATTCGGAAAGTGAGCCAGGGGCATGTTCCGAAAGAGAAATTATCCACTACAAAGACATCATGATTATTTCTCACAATGTCTTCCACCATTTTTCTTTGTGCTGGGGTGAGTTCTGTACACTTATCCACCATTTCCTGTAGGTCTCTGGGTAGAGGTTGGTCTTTAGGAATGGGTGGTTTCCTTGGTGTGGTTATAATCTCTGCATCCTCGAAAGGCTTCACTGTGTGCTTGACTTCCTGTGATTTGGTTGCTGAGGTTTCAGTGGAGGTGGAGATGGTGTTGACTTGCACCGTCTCCTCCTCATCTCCCTCATCTCCTTCGTCTTCCTCGTCATTTTGGAAGTCATCTCCTAGTGGGTGGAGGAGATAGACTTCTCCCAGTATTGCATATTTGGGAATTTTTAGGCATTTATCACCCCAGTTAGTGATTTTGACGTTAAAAGGGGCACTGATACAAGGGACCACTCCTGTTTCAGTCGTTACAGTGGGTGGTAATTTTGTTAGTTTATGTTCAATGGGGCCAGTGCCTTTACTATTCAGGAAAAGTCCTAATTTGATGTTGAGTTCCATTTCTGGGTTCAGCTGGATACCGTGACAATCATGAATCTTTGAGTTAGTTTTGGGGCCCCGTAAAGTGTAAGGAGTTTTCACAAAGTTAGAGTCACCATTGAGGTTTTCTGTATCTTAAGATTTCTTTGTCCTTACAGGAGATTTTCGGCTTCCCGGACCCTGGACCAGCAATGACCCTGATGTTGACAGCACCTGGGCATCACCAGCTGTCGGGTGGGGGAGTCCTTCCTTCTCCTTAAGAGACACGCCAGAGTCGTTTTCCAGCTCATCAGCTTCGAGATCAGTTTCCAAAAAGGTACAGATTTCTTTATCCACAAATGGTCTCAACATCACGTCTTTTCCAGCTCTCACTGTGTAGAATGTTTGGCCACTATTGAATTTTCCTTTCTCTTTTGATTTTCCTAGTTCAAAAGGGACTTTGAAATCTCCTCCAAAAATTATTTCTCTTTTCTTTATTCTGATTTCAGCGTCAAATTTGTCTAGGAAGTCAAATCCTAATAGATTCTCCTCTACATCTGCCTCATAGACTGGGTAGTCGAACCTTCTTCCAGCTATTGAGATTTTCGTCATTACTGGGCCATAGAGTACTCCGGTATGTGACGTTGCTCCCTTCATCCTTAGCTTGGCTCTGGGTATTTCTCTCCCTGTTCTTTTTAATACTGTGATCGTAGCGCCTGTGTCGGCTACTGATTTGTCCTCTTTGTCTAGTATTTGAAATCGCAATTTCCAGGGTAGCTGGCGAGGCGAAAGTGAGCGCGTGGGCCCCCTTTTTGTCTTGCAGGCCTTTAATGAAAACGGTGACCATTGCGTCTTGGACGTCGTTTTCGCTATCGGCCGTCATGAAACTTCTTCCTGCTCTTTCCACTCTTAGGGAGAATTCTCTTATGGACTCTTCCGGTTCCTGCTTCATTTGTTCAAAATTCCTTTTGAGTTCCCATCTCGATTGTTTCTGAGTGAACATTCTCTTAAGGGCCGCATCCAGATTTTCATACGATATTTCCTTGTTCTGTTTTTGCAGGATTTCCAGTGCCGACGTGGCCGCTCCAGTGAGGCTGCGTATTAGTTGCGTCCTCTTTTGCTGGGATGTCCAGCCATTGTCCTCTGCAATGATTTGGAATTGCACTTGATAGAGAGAGTAGCAAGTTTTGCCGTCGTATGGTGGGACTTTCACTTGCTGTTGGACGAAGCTGACCCGGGGCCCTCCGTCGCGTCCGTAGGGGTTGACGCGTTCTCTGTGCCTCTGGGCCACTCGTCTCTCATCTCTGGGAAAACCTCGTACGTATGCTCCAGGTTCTCTTTCGTTTTCTCTTCTCTCTCTTTCGTTGTCCTCATTTCTCCTTTCGCCTTCTCTCCTTTCACCGCCTTCGTTTCTTCTTTCTCTTTGCCTCCTGTCCTCTGCTCCGCTCTCGGCTGATTCTCTTTCTGTTTCAGATTCCGACGGTCCTGCGTCTGTTGACATATCGTTGTCCGAGCCGCTCTCTCGGCTGCTTTCTCTGACGTTCAGTCTGCGAGCCGTCTCGTCTCGTGCATTGAGACGGCTTACCGACCAACCAACTCGACGGCGTCCGCGGGCTTGCCGGCGATTTCTGCCGCTGCCTCTCGGTCTGCCTCTGGGTCGGCGTTCCTCCTCCTGGTCGACCTCGTCGAACTGTTGTCCGAAATCCTCCATCTTTTCTTGGCTTGATTAGTAAAGACTGAGTCAGTTACTTTTAGTTTCTCTTATTCCTGCGGCTGTTGCGGCGCGTTCTAGTTAGCACCGGTCCTTCCTTCCTCAGGTCGCTAATGCACCGCCACTCACTGAAGGGTGCGTTGTGTCTCGGAACGAAGAAGGTTCTTCCTAATAAGCGTGGGTCTGTCTCCGGGATGGGGAGGAGGAGAACCGCTCTGATTGGCGTGCGGTTTTCTTCCAGGCGTCCTTTGTTTCCAAAAACCCAAGTGGTTTTGTAGTCGATTCTTATCTCCCTTTGGCAGGAGTGTTCGCAGCGGGGAGAGCAGTTGAGTGCTCCGGCTGAATCGAGGGATGAGCACACTGAGCCAGACGAGAACTCGGCGTTTGAGTGGGTCGGGGTCCACTCGTAGGAACCGAGGAGCGGCAGGACGTAGTTGGAGACGTCGCTGTCGCTTTTTTCGTCTGTACACGTATAGTCGGGTTCACCTGTTACCCACTGCTCGGCCGG